GTTGTTGTACAATGTAAAAATCGTAAAGGGAGTATTGGGTATGGTTATTTTTAATTCAATTATAATTATATTTTTTCAAAATATTTGAATTAAATTTATTTATTTTTTGAAGGTGTTGATATATTGCGTGATTTAGAAGCGGTAATATCTAGATATCCTAGAAATACTATAGGTATTTTAGTAATTCCGTGTAAAGCAAATTACACTAAAAATATAAAAGAGTTAAAAAACCTATGCAAATTATTTTAACTGATAAAACCCATATTTGTGTAGATATAATTCAATTTATTAATACCAAAATTGAAAACTCTAACAATAATAATGATTTAAAAAAATTAATCTCTTGTCTTGATCTTTTCTTTGTGTTTATTTATCTTTTATCCCAGATTAAAGGTCAAATTGATCGATTAGATGTTTTTTCTTTCAAATCTATATCACTATTGTATGTGAAATTGAAATATTATGGAGTGGGATGAAATTCTGATTGGCTAATTTGAATTTTCACATATGTAAATTTGAATTTCACATATGTGAATTGCGAATTCACATAATTTCATTTTCACGTACAACATCACTATAGAAGAATAAATTTCGAATTGTTAAAAAATCAACTAAATTTTTTTTTCTTAATTAATAATCAACGTATTCTTTCCAAAAGAAAATTTTTCATTAATCAATGATTTTATTGGTTTTTCCAAAAAGGACCAGATCATTCACTATCCTTCAAATGGTCAAATTCAAAAAAAGATTTGTTTTCTCCAAAAGGAAATTAAATTTTTTTTCAAAAATTTTTTTAATTCAACACAAACAATCAAAAAAATTTGCACACATTGATCATTAAAATTGACAACATTTTGAACCCCGGTCTCGTGACCAGGAAATATCACAAACACGTTGTGTGACAACCCTTTGACGATCCGAGGTAAAGGTTCCAAGACAAGACCATCAGTTTTTGGTCATTTTGAATGGTCCGGAACGTCAGAAAAAATCCAAGACCTAAAGGTAGACAGCGGTCGACAACACGTAAAAAACATCTAAAGTTGAACTAAAACAGATAAGTTTTTCAGTTCACAAATCATGACAAAAAAATAGCAATTGGGTTTCTCACGATATGGTGACGTAAAAATAACCACAACCATTTATCATTTTTTTGGAAAACGAAAATATTTCTGTTCAAATTTCAATTTTATTAATCAACAAATTTCAAGCCAGCGCAGCAAGAAAAAAAACGACTTATCACAAAGTTTTACCCTTTGATTTTGATCTCTTCCTTCCCAAAAAATTCAGTTTACTAAAGCTGACGTTTAGAAAGTTACAGTTGCAGTTACGGCAACAGTTACAGTTATTACGGTAACAATTTCAGTTACGGTAACTGAAACATATAAAAAAAAAAAAAAATAAATATTACACAAAATATAAAAATCTACACAGAAATTACGACATTTAGTAAGGCACCGTAACACGACAACCTCTATGTATGTTAATCATGCTCGCAGTTTTAGTCTAGATGCATCTTTCAAATAACTTTAGCTTTGAAGTATTAGATGATCTATGCTTGCATGTAATCTACATTTTCTATCTCCAGCACGTTACAAGTGATGGGTGTAAAAATTATCTTGAACAATGACCAAAGTTATTAAGTACTTGATAACTATTAATGACTTATCAAGTGTTAAAAAAACACAAACTTACAGATTCTTTATGGGTAATAAAAAATAGATTTTTCATAATTTACCTATAAAAAAATAATTTCAAATACTACTATGATTGAATAATCTATATTAAAATCAAAGATTAATTTGTTAATATATAGTTAGTTAATAATTTAGTGCAAGATTTGGAATTTCTAAATACCGTAATAATCAACGATCTAGACTCATCGCGTACATTGTGTAATTCTAAAAATACTGTATATATGTACACTAGAAA